GCTAAAACATCCTCCCATATCGGCCTAACACAGGGGACAATAGGGTTTAGGGTTTAGGGCCTAGGGTTTACGGTTTAGGGGTTTAGGGATTAGTATAAGGGGTATTTAAACCATGGGGGTTTAGTATGGGGGCCTTAATCATGAGAATAGGGTTTTCGGTTCCGTTAAATTATAATTAAAGGGATCCCTGAGGAATTATATAGGTACTTATTTGGGAGTTTCCGAAAATAGGGGACCCTAATATAGCACCCTAAATAGTAGGATCCTTATTACCAGGGCCCCAGAATAAGGACCCCTAATTTTCGGAAACTCCCATTTAGGTTTCTATATTAACCGCCTCAAGCCTGAAACCCTGAAAGAACCCTGCAACATACCCGACAGGTCCACCGAAACCGTTCTTCACACGTTCGAAATCCGTGCACATACCCTCGCAGCCGTGGCCCTCCGACTATCCTAAACCCTAACTGGGTTGGCCGTTAAACACCCTGAAAATATTTATATATAGGGCCCCTTATAAACCCAAATAAGGAAAATACAAAATGCCCCAAAATCCAACCTAGCTAAGCTCGTGAAAATCGCTGGGAGTCCGCACCACCTGGACATCCACCCCAGCCGCCTGCTTCATGGATCAAGGGACTCAGTCAGTAATATAGGGTCCCTAGGGTTCCTTTAAAGGGTTCCTTAAGGGGATCTATAAGGGTTCTATAAAGGGTTTAGGGTTTAGGGAGATATGGGTGGTTGTCAAAATTACGGTCCGTTTTTGGGTCCCTAGGGGGTTCCTTTAAAGGGATCCTTAAAGGGTTCTATAAGGGATCTATAAAAGGGTTCTATCTTCTATATGGGTGGTTGTCAAAATTATGGTCCCTTTTGGGGTCCCTAATATAGTACGGCACCTACTATTTAGGGTTCCCAAAAAGGGACCATAATTTTGACAACTGCCCATATGTTTAAAAACATTATAGCCATTAACATAACTACATAGAATAACATATACTCCTAAACCAGATTAAAAACTACATTAAATTATGTGTAACCTAACTACTTTGTAGGCGGAGTTATTAATCTCATGTTCCCCTAAGTGGGAGCTGGAAGCTGAGTTGCAAAGTGGCTTAATTCCTCTTCCAGCCTTCTTAAACCCCATAAGGTGCTTTGTTGTAGGGCTCCTACTAACTCTATACTATTAGGGTTTCGAATAAGACAAAACGGCTCATGGTAGTTTAAGGTGGGTCCTTCTTTCAGAGTGGGGTCTCGGATAAACCCTCAACGAACCCCCTGGCCCTAGAGTTTGGGGCTTAGGCTGTCAGGTTTGGGGTGTCGGGCTAGACATTTCGATTTGGGGTTTAGGGTTCAGGGCTTATTTCTTATACCCTAAACCATGCCCTCTAATGGCCCACGACCTGAAACTCTTACGACATGAAACGCCGCAGCCTTAAGCCTGACACTCAACACCGCTAGGGGTCTAATACCCATAGCACCATACGTTATCAAACGGAAACGCCCCACCATAAATACTCAAGTTGGACGCGTTTTGACATAGCGAATCTGCTATGAATCTCCTATGACAGTTAAAAGAGTCCCCATAGCCCGCACACATGCCGTCAACCCAAAATAACCATACCCCACACCCCACATCCTGAACTTCAAACCCAACCCGGCCTTTATCGCGTGACACACTGCCTCGAACTTTGTCAAGGCGTCGTCGATCGCCAGAGGAGCCTAGCAGACAGCGGTTTACGGTTCTGATGGGAGGCCAAAACGGGGCTTTAAGATTCTTGGGGTAGGGGTTCCTTAATATGAACCCTATTGTGCTACCGCTAGGATCCCAGAGACTCCAATATTCCTTAAATAAGGAATATTCCTCCCTTAAAATGATTTAAGGAATATTCCTCAAATTAAAGTAGGATCCCTGACATGATTTAAGGAATATTCCTTAATTAAGGGATATTGGAGTCTCTGGGATAGGCGTCGGAGAGGAAGCCTCGATGTGCAACCACCTGCGGCTGAACACGATAAGCCCCCCCTCCGCCAATCTAACCTTTAGGATCTAAGGACTCATGTTTTAAGGCTGTGGGCCCAGAAAAAACAACTATATGAGGCTTTTTGGCTATTTTGAGCTTTGGGGAAAGAGTCTTCGCAATTAGAACAGGCTTTTAGGGCATATTCAACAATGAAACAGATTCGAAACCTCAATAACAGTGTTGGCAATGATGCCAGCTCCTATGTTAGCTGCTGTGTTTGCGATTGGCTAAATTACTTATGGCCCAAAGCCCAAAGCCCTCCAGCACGGGTCTTGGTTTTGGGAGGCGAAATATAGCACTCGAAATAACTAGCAACAATGCCCCTTGCAGTCCCTATAATATGACTCTCCTATAACCCAGAGACTCCAATATCCCTTAACTAAGGAATATTCCTTAAATTATAGTAGGATCCCTAATATGATTTAAGGAATTTTCCTTAATTAAGGGGTATTGGAGTCTCTGAAAATGGGCCCCCCACCGAATCCCTTGTAGTTGTCATGTTCCCTGTGGTACCCTAAACCCGAAACCCAAACCCTCACATGGAGCCCTTATATGTCTTGATAAGGTGCACAATTGCACTGCAACCCTACTTTTCCAGCCTAGTTTTGGGGGTCTCATGGCGTAGGGTTTTGTGTTGACGTTCAGGGTTTCGGGGAAGTTTGTAAGTATGTCATGGTTGTCAAAAAATGGTCCCGTTTTAGAGCACCCAGAATATTGATTAGGGGCCCAAACAGGGGCCGTAACTTTGACAACCACCTATGTGGGTTATGTGGGCGCAGGACATTGTACTAAAAGGGTCATGAGACTTAGTAACTGGGGTTAGAAATAAGGTAGCCATACTCATAATTACTTATAACCCCAAATGAGGTACCTATGACCTTGCATACTAAGTCACATGATCCCCCAAGTAAGGCTGTAGATTTGAAGGTGCGGGTTCAGGCTCTCGAGGCGTAGGGTATCCGATTAGGGCCTAGGGTTTAGGGCCAGGGCCTAGTTGTGGATCCAAAAACCTATCGTTTTAAGGGTTCTACCTTCTAATTAAGGGGTCATAACCCACTATTTTGTAGGCTTTGGGGTCACAGGTAGAGTTTAGGGTTTAGGGGTTTAGGGATTAGTACAAGGGGTATTTAAATTGATTATGGGAGGGGGTCCAGTATAGGGGCCTTAATAATTTAGAATAGGGTTTTGGGCTCCTTAGTTGTAAGAAGAAACCCTAAAAACAAAGATAATCATTTAAGCTTCTATATTGTCCGAAACCCCTCAAGCCCTGAACCTGAACCCTTTGAGCTTTAGAGGTGTAAGGCTTATGGTGGTATTGGGTTTGCTGTTTGGCGTCGAGATAATACCTGACTGAGGCCATAGAACAAAACATCATCCATCGTTTCACTTGGAACTTTGACGTAAGAAACTCAAGGATTTAAGATTTATGCTTCAGGGGTTCAGGGTACAAGGGGTTAGGACTTCTTGTGGTTTTCGGATTTCGAAGGGTGTCAAGCTAGGAGGTGTGGGGAAAAGGGATTGGGTTTAGGCACTGGTGTCTGAGTCTGTAGCGGCCTTGCAAATTCGCAGGGAGGCCCACTGGCGCTCAATCTCCACGTCCGTTGGCAACGCCACCTTCGCGAGGCTGTCTGCTTTGCATAACAGCGTCTTGGGTTCAGCGGTTGTACAACCTTTCGGGATGCCCTTGTTGAGACAAAACCGGAGTTTTTGTGGCCAGAGAACAACCTTCGCATGGCTCTGAAGGCCGCTGTTTTTTCGAAAGGCCTCAACATTGACGGGTCCATGGTTGAGATAGTATTCGAACTGATAATTTCTATTCCTTCTTGGGCAGAATTGCCCATAAAAACGTAAAAGTTAGAGTTCCAGATAGGACAGGACCACAATGCCCACCTTTAGTTAGTAGGGAATGGAGGAATGGGGTACAATTACAACTACTATTACTGCCATTCTTCCATTCCCTACTAACCAAAGGTAAGACTGTAGATCCAACACAGAGGCCTTACTGCCTAGGGCTTGGGTTTTGGAGGCAAAGGTTTCCTAAAAAGCAGTGTGATAGGAACCTCCCCAGACTCTATAATGAATTCTACTCTCGAAAAAGCCTATCAAAGCTTTAAAGCCACCCGTGTTGCACTACATACCCAGAGACTCCAAAATCCCTTTAATTGAGGAATATACCTTAAATCATATTAGGGATCCTACTATCATTTGGGGAACACTCCCTAAATTAAGAGATATTGGAGTCTATGGGTAGGTGCAGCTGCTAAACGGTTGGGGTAGGGAGTGATTGACCCCGACTTCTCAGAGCCAGATCCTAGACCGTGGCCCTAAGCCCTACCTTGACCTTGAAAAGCATACCTCTTTGCTGCATTTCTGTAGTGAAGTCATTAAGGTGGCCCTAAACCCTAAACTAGGGATCGGCACATTCCTGCCTAACCTATTACATGCTACATGAGGCATGAACATGGGCATGATCATGCCCATAAACATCCTACCCTAGGGCTTGACACCGGCAGCCTACCATGCCCCGGCATGATCCCTGCATGACACACGGCCCTTGTTTTCGCCGACAAATGAGCGCATCATCGAAGCTTCGCGATCACCTGGCATATCAAAAACTTGAGAGGAGAAGAGAGAGACAAAGAGAGAGAGAGAGAGAGACTGCACTTTCAAGCACTTGTCTAGCCTACCCTATGCCCAAATTCTGCCACCACCTACAGAACCTGAACCATGTACTGAACCTCATGCAGATGCTCTTTTTTCTGCTTCCCCCAGCATTGCTTTCCCCAGCATGAACTTATGCACCTGCTTTCAAGGCACATTAATCATTAACAGTATCAAAACAGTGCCGCTCCGTTTCTTGAGTCGGGCCCTGTGAAGATGGTCGGCCCTGGTCGGCCGCAAGTCCATCATTAACAGAACAGTGCCGCTCCCTTTCTTCAGTCGGGCCCTGTGAAGTCGGCCCTCCTGGTCGGCCTCAAGTCCCTACTCCTCGCCTAGGATTTCATTGACCTTCTGCCAAATCAAAGGATGCACCTGCTTCACAGGCACATCGAACTCCTTCAGCGAGTCGAGCCGCTTCTTCAATCGGGGCCTATGCCTGTCGGATCGGACCAACAGAATGGTCTCCATGAAATAGACCTCGGTCCCGGTGATCCGTGCGAGCTGGAAAACCTCAGGCCCCTGAGCAAGAAGATCTCGGGCCTCCTGGGCCTCAGCCGGCAGATCTGGCCACGACAGTGCCTCCTGCAGCTCGGCGAAGGACTTCTGGACTGAAGCAAAATGCTTGTCCAAGTCCTTGTGGAATGGTCGGAGTCGGTCCCTGAGCACTGTCTGCCTTGCAAGTGTGCACAGCGCATCCCATGTCGGGCCGCTCGGGCCGCTGGGCAAATCAGCCTTCCAGTTTCCGCCGCTGTCGGTCCCTCCTGCATGAAGCTTCAGGTCCGAGAAGGCCTGGAATGAACTTTGCAGCTGCACGCGGAATGCATCATGGCTGCTCGTCTGTAGACAAACTCGGGCCTTGGCAACTGCCTCCTCGAGATCTTTATATGATGCCACTTGCAAGTCATCCCAAGACTTGATCAGGGCACTGAGGCTTTCGATGTCATGACCGGGCCCGGACGACACATGGTGTTCAATCTTCAACCCTGTCAGAGTCTTTGAAAGCCTCGGCAGCTGCTCTGAATCCTGTGGAATCATCATAGCTTTCACCACCGCAATTGCCAGCTCGCACGTTGCAATTCCCAGAGCCGGATCATTGACCAGTCGGTCCAACCAGGCTCGGGCCTCGGTGCTTTTGCCGGCAATACCCACGTGGCAAAGTGCCTGAGATGTTCCAATGCAATATGCACACTCTACGACGAGGCCTTTGATGTCCCAAAAACCTTGAGCTGTCCTACTGTCCTGTGTTGGCGGGATAATGCAAACTCGTCCCGTTAAACGTTACGCACATTTTAAAACACTGCGACATGTGATAACTGGGTTGTGGCTGACTAGTAGTTAGTGGCTGGCTAGTGGCTAGTGCTGGTGACTGACTGTTGAACCTATTGTGCAATGGGACCAAGGTCGCTAGCTAGAGTCATTCCATGATGGCAGTATGCCCGAACACATAGGAAGTAGGTCTGCATAGATCGACAGCCATGTATCCACTTCAACTGATGCAGATGAACCAAGTCAATTGTTGCATCCTCAGGATTCTGAGGCACTCTAAGGGTTCCAAGTTCTATGAGAATGTCCATGGCTTTTGCTATGCAATTTGGGTCCTGGAAGTTGCTGTCGGCTTATTATGGGAGTGAAGGGATGTGAACACCGGCCGGGGAGTCCAAGCAGCCTGGCATGACCCAGGCAGAATTGCTCTCTGCAACATGAGACATCAAGTTGACAAAGCTATGAACTTCAATCTCCATAGAATAGGAATAAAGACTTGCCCTGTCAAGGCCGCTTCCAGACCTGGGACATGAGAGTCTAAGTCCTGTGTCCTGTCCCAGGTCCTACAAATGGGCTAAGTGAAATTAGACCAACTGCAACAGAACAATTTGCGAGGAAAGTTGCGCTAATGTCCGCTGTAGCAGACTCCACATCTTCCGGCGAAAGTTCTTTTCCTGGGTCCAGTGCAGCATCGAGCCAAGCCAGTGCTTTGCGACTTCTCAGTCGCACATTGAGCTTGTCGATGGTAGACTGGAAGTTCTCTCTTTCTAGAGAAAAGCTCTGACCCAGGATCGCGACTTTCCTGGCCCAGCCCTCTCGAAGGTTGAAGACTCGGACCTCAGTGGTACCCACAAATTTTCTCTTCAAGCAAACGTTGGGTCCTTGTTCATGGATTGAGAAGAAGCACTGTGCACGACCCTAGTACTTCATTTGTAACTGGTATTTGCATTTGCACATCTGCAGTTTACCCGCATAGCTGCTGGGGTTACCATTTAAATTCATTTAACCTCTTTATGACAGGTTAGAACGACAGCTGGTTATATGTCATCTGTATAAGGATTTCATGATTTGGACACTGCCTGCAAACATCATTCACCAGTCAAGACTCCAGCTCTGCTGCCCTTGCATCTGCAGTGTCTTCCGGTTCAGACTCTTCTGCATGCAGCAGCCTTGAATGAAGCTTCTGCAAATCGAGTGCCAAATGCTTTTGGACTGCCTCAGCCAAAAAAGCCAGAGTCTCAGTGTTCAACTCTCGAGACCAGGCCCCCCAATTGGCTTGTAAGTCGGCCCAGGCTGCATCCAGCTTCTCTTCATCACCGCCCTTCAAATCTTCCAAGCAGTCTCGGACCACGGGCTCATGCAGCACCTGGGTACTCGCGCCCAACCAGAATCGGTCCAACCTTTTCCTCCAGGCGGCGCTCTGAAGGAGCTTCGCCACCTTGGAGGTGGCTGCAATGGACAGCACTGGATTGTGCTTCCGTTTGGTCCATGCCTCCAGCTGATCATCTCTCACCGGCAGGCTCTGCACCAAAGCACCCACTGCTCGGACCGTTTGCACCATGAGCTTTGCCTTCTCAATTTTCATCAACTCGGGCTCATCCGCAGACTTCTGCAGCATTGTCTCGCTTAGCTCTTGCAGGCCAGCCACATCATCGTTTTGCATCATCTCCGGCAGACAGTAAGACACAACAATGTCGTGTGCAAATGTGACCTTGTCCTCCTGACTCATTGCCAGGGTTGCCACTCGGGCCTCTTCTGCATTGAAGAGGTTTTCGGACAACTTGGGCCACAGAACCTCAAAGCAACGAGCAATGTTCTTATTCGTGCCTGCCGTCAATCTCTCACACCTTCTTTGCACCAGTCCCTTGCAAGTAACCAATGGCAGCGGGCCTGGCCAGAAGGGTTGAAGTGTGAGAAGATGCTGGCCAATGTGGTCATCCTCGAGTTTGCCGACGGATGAAGGCCGAAGAGCCTCTGCCGCATGAAGGGCCGCCAAGTGATTCTTGAATCGGGCCAGGTCCTCTTCCTTGCCAGCTTTCTCCATGGCAGGCACCCTCTCCCGCATGTGATACAAGGTGACTTTTGGCTTGTGGCACTGATCAAGAAGAAGCTTTTCCACCGACAGCTCGTCCGAATTGGGGCCGGATGTTGTCGACTTTGGCGTGCTGCTCTGGCTCAGACGGCGCCTTTGTTGCCTTTGCCAAGATGTTGGAATGGCCGACAAATCGGGCCTTCGGGCCGAGCCGTTGGCCTGCAGGCAAAACTGCTTTGTTGTGTCTTTGGCTTACTGACGGACCAGAAACCTGCTATTTGTTTGCTTTAGCTGCAAACGATACAGGAACAGTGGGGGCAGTTGCCCACATCATGCTAACTTGCAGGATGCTGCCTGGATTAAGAGGATTACCAAGGCGACTGTGCTATGAACTGCCTGGCCTCTTGAAAGCAGCTGCCCAGTTGATGGGCTGCTTCCATCGCAGCTGCTGCAGCATTCTTGGTGGATTGCAGCACATTCTGCATATTCCACTCTCCCGGAACTTCCCCTCGTTGCAACTGCTGCATGCGCTCCAGGATGGCAGCAGTGCCTGCAGCAGCACTTGCTGCTGCTGCTGCCGATGCCGCTGCAGCAGCAGCTGCTCCACTCAGTGCCCTCAATGTCGGATCTTCATTGCCCGTCCTGGGTTTCCATCTTGCAAAACAACAATTTGCTGCAGCTGTAGCTCTGGGTGCTCCAAACCCATGCATCAGTGAAGTAGGCTATGCTCTTCACAGGAAAATACAGGAGTAGGCCTAAAGAAAAGAAAAAAAACAGTACATGGCTGAATGAGAAGAGGGCTATACTTGTTTCTGCAGTTTGGGTTTAAACTGCTAAGTGTTGCTTCACAAGCAACACGTTTGCTCCCTCTGCTAGTCCACAAACTTCTGGGACGTAGGCCAAGAGAAAGTTTCCTTCTGTAACCATTGTAACCCTTTCTCATCTGAGGTCTTTGAATCTGGTTGGTGATTGCAATTTCAAGCAGCTGCACTGGTCAGCACATGAACATGAGTCATTTATGAGCAATGGTGTTTTAATTTCAAACGTTGGAAAATATACTTAAAAATGGACAATGTCCCAATTGACCGTGCCATGCTTCGTGGCTGGACTCGGGCCACTGCTCGGACCATCTGTGTTCGGGCCATTCGGAGTTGCCGAACCTGGCCTCGATAATGATGTGGGCGTTGTCTCGCCGAACAGATTAGAAGCACCTCCGGAGTTCGATGGTGTACCATCCATCCCGACTGACGGCAATCTATGGTTTCTCACCTTGACTGATTGCCGTGTTTGGCAACGGCACTGGCAAGCAGCAGCATGTGTGTTCAATTGTCCAGGGAAAGCCAAGCACAAAGCACCCCAGCATGCTGCATATTCAGTCCAAGCCTACGGCCTAAGCCCATGCATTGTGCTGCACGTCAGCTCATGTTACCCTAGCAATGACTGTAAAACATGCCAGGCCATCAAGGCAATCTCGGGCCCCGAAATCCTGCTGCCTGACCTCGGAGAACTTGCAGGTGCACTCATGTAGCATGTACAGTCTAATGTTGACCACCTGCAGTTTCTAAGAACCCTGACATCTCAGGAACTGCAGCCCTTGCTACGTCCAGACCAGCTGAAGTCAACAGACCCAGAACACTGGACATGGTGCATGGAAGGCACGTCTTTCAGCATGATGCAATGCTCAGAAACAACCAAAACTAGTGTCTGTAGCACACTTGTCACTGACTCTGTCTGACACGAACAGCAGTCTTATACTTGCACTTTACACTTTACACTTTACGCTCTACACACTTCTAAATCTGCACCACTGCCAGACTTTTGCACAAGTCCATGATGCTGTAAGCTGCGAGCACTATCAGACAGAGACAGAAGAGGAGGGGGTGAGACAGACACCGGGACGGAGGCCAAGGAACATGATGTGTATAACTTGGCAATGGCCAGTGCCAATGACTTCAAAAGAAGTAAAGGGCAATGAAACAGACAGCAAAAGCAACATGAGAGCGACGATAAGGCATTCATCTCTATCCCGAATCTGAGGGCGACTGCTCGCCGACTGTGTTAAATTCGGATGAGTCAGCGGAAACGACCTTTCCATGGACAACAAGACCAGCTGCACGTGGCATGGCAAGTTCGGTGGATCCCGCACCCACGGGTCCAAGGCAGAAAATTCTAGCACTGCACGAGACCCTATCCGAACGGCAATCCAGGGGGCAGCAAAAAGAACAGCAATGGAAAGAAAGGCCACACGTGCATCGACTGGAGCAAGGAGGGCTAGTGAACAAATACTGAAGGCTTGGGAACAGTTATGCAAAAGAAGTGACAGGAGCAGGATGAACTACATCTCCTGAGATTTCTACCTTGCCTTGATTCTGGGGCCTTAAGCCTTGAGCTCCATGCAATGTGAATGCCGAGCACATAACCATGGAAGATCCAATTGGCGACAACGATGAAATGCAATATCTCCTACTGTGATCTTAGTAAACACAACAGCGGGTAATTTGTATTTTACATGGCCGCCCAAAGTTTCCAGCGATTCAGTTCTGACACTGCAGTGTAAGCAAGTTTTTTGCGCAAAGTAATTAATTGCTCAGCTGCCAACCCTTCCACCACGAAGCCTTCTGTTGTGCCATCTGCATGTAGCACCTGCGAGTCGCAGCCGGGTGATTCCAGACTTCAGGCTTGTTGGTTGCGGGTCCCGGAATCCTGGCAAGAATGGTTGATTGGGATGCAAAACCCTTTGATCTTCATGGCCCGGTACCAAATCAGAGTTACTAGCTCTACCGGCTGGCCTATGGCGGCACGCCAAATTAAAAAACCTGAAAACTTAAAATTCATCAAACTCTCGTCCTCTCGTAGGGTCTACCAGGTCTAGACTAGACTAAACCAGCAAGCATGTCGGCTGACCCGGCGGCCGGCAGCGGCGGTGGCAGTCGCTGGCATGTGGCCGAGGAGGGCTGGGGCTAAGACCCAAAGCCGGCAGGCATGTTTACAAAATCACTCGGGCCTAGGGTGAGGTGCTTACCCTGTGCCGCCTTCTTGCTATCCAGCCACAAGGCTTAGTCTAGCTCCAGTCTAGAAAAATTAATGGTGGGTGTGGTCGAAGGGCTCGGGTCTAGCTGTGCGATGTCCGTCGTCTCCTTGTCCTTGCTGTAGTCTGTAGGATTTCGAGCCTCGTCCTCGTGCTTCTGCTTTGACACCTTCTCGGAGCTGGGCGGATGGCCCGTCAAGGACACTAAGGCGCTCCTCGGCAGTGTGGGCTTTGCCGGTTGTGCCGGATGCTTTCCACGGCTGGTCCGGGAAGTACACTCCTTGGCCGAAGCAGGACCTTTCCACTGTGCGTCCTCCTGCCACGGCTTCTGTTTCTGGCTGTAGGTCAGTGTAGGTACTTGGCATCCCTGGGGCTGTGTATGCAGCCACTGTGAAGCAATGGGGCACTTTCTGACCCTTGTGCTGAGAAGGTGCTTCGACTGCACCTGGCAGTAGATGAATTGGGCCAAGACCCGGTGTTTCAGCACCAAAGCTTGCCACCGTCAGGTTCTCGACCACGAAGAAAGAATTAGGGACAGGGTTCAGGGTTGGGTCTTGATGCGGTTCTTGGGCACTGGAGTTCAAAGCTCTTTGTGGCTACGGCTTCGAGAGGCTCATGTACTTGCCTTGTTGAAGTGCAGAGAGGGCATCTGGTTCAGGGTAACACGTTGATGTTTGTTTCAGAAATACATTCTGGTACTGTAGGTAGAACCACCAGCATCAGGACTTCATTGTCAAGAGGACGAGGCTGCTTAGGTTTCGGCAATGACACTCGGACAATCCAGGTGAGACATATGGCATATGGGTTTCTCTAATTTCTAAACCGAAGAAACCAGACTATTGCAAAGCAGCCACTGGCCCCGATGCTCGGAGAATCGCAAGCCCTGACACGACCCCTGACGCCGCAAGCCATAGCGACAGCGACTACTTCTAGTGTAAACGTGAGGAATGTTGCTAAGCTGCAACATCGACCCGAGAGTAGGACAGGCACCAGAAGCCCCGACAATGCCCCTGAAGCTCTATCCTATCTAAGCCTTTCCAAAGGCGACGTATGGCCGGACTCCCGAAATTTGCAAACCTGGAAATCCGCACGAGGCGACGAAAACCAGAAGCCCTGCCACTGCCAAGCAATTCGACCCGGCGAGACCTAGGACAACCGCAAGCCGTGAGACTGCCCCTGACACTGCAGCTTTTCGTGCAACGATCGATTTTTATTACTGTTTCAGTGCCCACTGGGGCTTACAATGCCGTGAGTCACTACATGAAACCACCTACTACCTTCGCTTTAAGACTTGAAGACTTTAAGATTCCAAAGGAATCGGCCCAATGGAAAGTATTACAGTACGTACAGACATACAGTCCACAACCGCAGCAAGCCAACAGGAAAAACAGGACACCCGGCCCTCATCTTCCATTTAAAAGCGAGGATCTGGAGGATCTGCTATCTGGGGCTTGGTGCTCATCTAGAATCTAGAGTTTTTTTCAACTCCTGAACGACGAACCCCCGGCCTCAGAATCGAGGTCAGCCGCGTCTTTGGGGCCACTTCCTCAAACCTCACATCGTCGGGCTCTGGCTTCTGGGCTTCAGAAATTAGTCCTAGCAGTTTTAGCTGAGAATGCACTCATCAGGACGGTGTGCCACGTGACTGACATGGTTTTCGTTCTGGCCAAAGGAGGACACGAGGTCAGAGCTCGGTAGGATTTAAGCCTGACCACGAAATTGGTATGGCACAGCACAACACGGCCAAGCACACCGAGATGTGACACAACGTGAGCTTGCGTCGTTTTCCCGGGCTGCGACTGCACCGGAAGTTTCTATCGCGGCCACTCAGTAAAAGTTTTGTAGATTAGCTAGTCACCTAACGGACTCAGGAGTATTTGGGAATGAACACTGAAGCTTTGATGGTCCTAAAGAACAGATGCTGTAACCCATTTCAACATCTAGAGCTGAAACTTGCAAGCACGGTAGCCTTGCCGGAAGCACAGCCAGGACAATCTCAAAGAATCCACACATGGGTCCAAGGACAAGGCAAGCTTCAATGCAGGCCCAAATGCACATGCAGCAGTGATTGGTGCACTCTGGAATTTGTTTTTCATCTGTGCAACACCTCGGGCCATGGAATCCCCCTCCCTCGGCCAGATCTGGGCAAATTACTAAGTCCGAAGTCGCAAGTCACTAGCAGCTAGCAGCCATGCTCTGCACGTAGTTTCTCGAGAGCGCTCTCGAGAACTGAAATTGTACGCTTGGCATTTGCCAATTCCGGCAGCACAGCCTTGAGCTGCTCTGAATCTCGCAGCAGGCTTTCGTGCTCTTCAGCACAACGGAGAAGGTGCAAATAGTGCCCTTCTGTGAGTCCTCGGATGAGGTGGGGTCTGCAACAGGAAAGCATGTGCTGCCCTGCCAAAGTCAACAACCCTCCAAAAATCAATGAGGTCCAAGAATCGCGGTCGGACCTCTCTCTCTAGCGGATCTTTCTCCACTGCCCGCTTCTTCTTCACTGATCTTGTCTCTTCGCGGCCATCCGGAAGCTTCTGCTGCTCTTCACCTTTTGGCTTCACCATGTCCATTCGGCCCTCAATGTCTAGCATATGTTGACCTCGAGAGATTGAAGGAAACACTGTTTTCACTGGATGTTCGCCTGCTGGGACAAGTGCACCAGCACCATCATCTTCGGGCCTGTGACTGGCGGTATCCTCACCATGATGTTCGCCTAGGGCTAGGGCTTTAGGACCTGGATGTTCGCCTGCTGGGACAAGTGCAGCAGCACCATCATCTTCGGGCCTGTGACTGGCGGTATCCTCACCATGATGTTCGCCTAGGGCTAGGGCTTTAGGACCTGGATGTTCGCCTGCTGGGACAAGTGCACCAGCACCATCATCTTCGGGCCTGTGACTGGTGGTATCCTCACCATGATGTTCGCCTAGGGCTAGGGCTAGGGCTTTAGGAATTGAAGGGGTTGCAGCTCATGACTTTGTGGGCGGCTGGAAGGGGGTGTCTTCAGTAGACATGTCATGTGTGGAACTTAAAGCCATGGAGACAAAACCACAGAAAGAAACCGATATCGTCGACGAGGCTCCTTGAAGCACAGGTTCAGGCTGTACCCTACGTCGACGGCCATTGAGTCTAGGGTAGGACTTCGACCATGGCGACTCGCCGAACCGCCGGATATTTCTTGGAGGCGTGATCATGGCTGCGGACTGGGAAGGAGGCAATGAATTACATTCACATGGCATCCTTGCAGTTGTACTCAACATGTGTGCCTGCAATCAACACTGTCACACCAAAGCGGCAAGTCTGGACACCAGCAGGCCATGGCGGCAGCATGCCACGCCAACGTCAGCACAGACACACACACACACACACACACACACACACACACACACACACACACACACACACACTCACACACACACACACACAG